TTTTGTTTTTTTTGTTTCTTTTTCCGGAACCTTCAGCTCGGTCCGGAGGCGCGGCAGAGCTCAGACAGTAAAGCTGTCAGACGCGCCGGTTAAAGGCCGCTGTCAAATGAGCCAAATGAATCCTGTGAGACGAGAGAAAGAAGACAAATAAAACCAGCAGAGTCCAGAGACTGAGCCTCAGCTCATGCACATTATATTTATATTTATATCTAAGTATCGATCTGACTGTAAATATACATGATTATACAACAACGGGTTTTATTTTTATAGTTCAGTATTAACAGTCTTGCTGGATTGATGCTTTTCATTTATTTTTTTATTTCTTTGGTCTCTCGTTAAAACCTCTTTCGAAATTATTATTATTATTATTATTATTATTATTAAAACGAATAATAATCTAGTTCCAGTTTTCAATTTCTAAAACTGTGGGTTTTTTAAAAAAATTGTTTGTTTGTTTTTCGTTTGTTTTTGTATTTTTTTTTAATCTCGATATAAAGGATTTTATTTCCTGTGAAAACAGGTGATGTCTCCGGGTTATCTGTTCTAACTGAAGCCTCGTGAGGTTTTTCTAGAAAATAAAATATTTTAAAGACATGAATGTTAAAGTGATCGGACTTACCGTGAGCCTTGTCTCCCAACATCTGAGCAGCCAGTCACTGATGATTGTCTTATGAGCTGCCCTGAATGTGTGTGTGCGCGCGCGCGTGAGTGTGTGTGAGCTGCAGCCGCGTGCACGGGCTGCTGAGCACAGCACCAGACCAGTAAGAACTCCTGATGGACTCAAACTTGGAGCCTGTGTGAGCGGCACCGATCACTGACCAACACACGGATTGGAACACCTCTGGTTCGGTCGCTCTTTACCGTCCTTCCCTTATCGCCAAAGTTCGGCTGCTGCGCTGCGATTGGTGGACCGAGGCTCACGTGACGGACTCTCCCTGCCTCCTTCGTAAGAAATGCCTGGACAGGAGTGTGTGTGTGTGTGTGTGTGTGTGTGTGTGTGTGTGTGTGTGTGT